TTCTGAGCTTGGATAAAATCAGTACAAAGAGCTTAAGACTTGGTTGCATAAATATTAAACAAGAAAACCTGGAGTAGACACTGGAAGGTGGTGGGGCCTAAAGAAAGCATCCCATTGAGGCAAAGGTTGCTGTTGGCAGACGTGGCAGCCTGAGTCTTCAAGAGCCCGAGTATCAAAGCGTCTTATAAATGGCCAGAGGCTGGCACGGGCTGAAGAAGACCTGGGTTTATGATCTGCTCAGTCTACACAGTGATGACGGTAAAGGAATACCTCAAGCCACCTAAGATCTTGTTTCCTTCTGGAACACCTGAAAGATCCCTTAAGAGGGACCTGCAGAATGACCCAGAAAACCCAGAGTGGAAGGCAGTACAGAGAGTTAAATTCAAAATAGAATCCAATGTACACGTTCAAAATACACATCCTCTTGTAGTATTAACAGATGTCCACACAGGGCACAGGAAGTGCATGGTTTTGATTATCAGTGTATCCCTAGATTAACAGAATGCTGTATGTGGAGGCCAGACAATTGTATGAAACAGAACCCTTTGGCTCCATTAGGCTAATGGATTTAGACCTTCCTGGCACCTAGAATTTGAGTAATGGCCATGCTGGGTTTGGGGAAACCGCTATTGGATACCAGATCATTTGTAATGCTATCTATGTACAAAGCTATGGGGCCACTATAGTGTGTCCATATTTTGTGTAGGCCAACACACTGGGAGGCACAGTGCTCTGGGGAAAGGCAAATGGTCTCTAGTCCACAGCTGCTATCATGTCCTTCTGACCCCAGTTCTCTCACTGGCCCTTTCTTTTGAAGTATCTTTACTACCCAAATTGGGTAGTCAAGTGTTTTGTTTTGTTTTTGAAAGTACAGAGGTATATCAGCCATCACTTTCTCTTGGACATAATAGGTTGAAGGGTCTGTTCTATGCTTTTATAATCTAGTGTTGACTTTATCTGAAGGAACACTGTTGAAACAGTATACCAGTATAATGGTAAACATGCCATTGTAAAGCATTTTTTTTTAAGTTTGCCTGTGGTTACTCTGACCTTTTTTTGTCTATTGCTGCCTTATTGAGTGCACTATGAACATAGACAGGAAACAGACTGCGTGTGCCTGGCGAGAACTCATTCCAGGCGTCTGGCCTCAGTTTACCACATCCTTACCTCATCTACAAAACCAGTGGGTCTGATGGCCAGAGTATCTTTCAGATCTTAAAGCCCATGACTTTGTACTGAATATAAAGACCAGAAATGCCTCTACTGGGGGCAATTAAAAATATAATATCAGAATGTCAGATAAGTAAAGCTTTAGTTCATAAATGAAGAATTCATAAAGTGGGTTATTTCATGCAAAAAAAGACTCAAAAATTTAGTAATTGACAGTGTTTCCTAAACTTTTGACATATGTGAACCCCTTCTATAATTTTCGTAATGCTGAGTACCCCTCGTACTCATGAGAACATAGAATTAGGCGCAGCTAAGCACGGTGCAGTGCATATCCCCACCAAACTCCAGTGCAATGCGTACCCCCACCAAACTCTTCCTGTACCCCTTGGGGTACACGTATCACACTTTGGGAAACACTGGAAGATAAAGAAAAAAAATTTTAATTTTAAAATATAAATATTTATGTTATGTTATTTTGACTTATTATTATCAAAATCTATTTATTAAATTTGACCAAGATTTAATCTTAGGAATACTGAAACTGATAGTCATTAGTAGAAACTTACCTGTTTGTGCAACCCAGTCTCCTTACTTCATTCATCTTCCACCTACATATTTCTTGCATTTTCCATCTCTGAGCTCTCTCTCTTGAACTACCTCTGTTCCTCTCCACACTTTCTCTGGAGTTAATTCCCCATTGAGTCTTTCCTCCAGAGGACAGAGCTGCTACTTCTTCAAGCTCTGGAGAATGTATGGTGGGGGTGCCTGACACATCTCTAGGGGGAAGCTGTTCTGGTGCCGGTACGGCTGAAGCCTTTGCATTTTCTTTCCTTGTCTTGTTTTGGTTTGGTGTGTGTCTGCCATATATCTGTCTGCTCTTAGCTGAAGGCCTTCCCAGAGTGGACAACTGAATGCACTGCACAGCTGCCAGGATTCTAATTCAAGATCTAGAATTCTCACTCCTGCACTTTAGACCTTTGTTTGGCCCTAGTTCCAGGCTCTTGCCAACCGGGTCCTTGGCTGATTATCAGTCCTACTGGGGCCCTGTTCCCACCCCCAGTGGGCCCAGGAAACCATTCTTGGCACCAGACTGAACTTCAACACAACTGCCCTCGCCTCAGCCAATCCAACTCTCATCTCAGCATAAGTTTGTTACCTTGGGAGCTGGGAAACAGAAGAAATGAGAAAGAAGAGAAAATGTCATGGATGAGGGAATTCATCACACCCAACAATTGTTGCTGCACAACTTTGCTGTGCTTTTACTCTAAATACACAAATGAAAAGCCTTAACAATCCTATTATTGGAAACTAGAGGCCCAGTGCATGAAATGTGTGCACAGGGGCAAGGGGTATTCCTCAGCCCAGCTTGCACCTTCTCCAATCTAGGATCCCTTGAGAGATGTCCAACTGCCCACTGGGATCGGGCCTAAACGGACAGTCGGACATCCCTCTCACAATCCAGGACTGCTGGCTCCCAACTGCTCACCTGCCTGCCTTCCTGATGCCCCTAACTGCTTCTGCCTGCCAGCCTGATCACCTCCTAACCACACCCCTGCCAGCCTGATTGATGCCTAACTGCTCCCCTGCCAGACTGTTTGCCCCCAAATGTCCTCCCCTGCAGGCCTGGTTGCCCCCAACTTCCCTGCTCTGCCAGCTTGGGAACCCCTAAGTGCCCTCCCCTGCAGGCTTGATTACCCCCAACTGCCCTCCCCTGCTGGCCATATTGTGGTGGCCATCTTGTGACCATATAGGGGCAGGATCTTTGACCACATGGGGGCAGCCATCTTGTGTGTTGGAGTAATGTTTAATCTGCATACTATTCTTTTATTAGATAGACTAGAAGCACAGGTGGGGGCCAGCTGGTTTACCCTGAAGGGTGTCCCAGATCAGGGTGGGGGTTTCCTTGGGCAATGAGCCTGTGGTGGTTTGCAGGCCGGCCATGCCCCCTGGCAACCCAAGTGGAGGCCCTGGTATCTGGGGTCTATTTATCTTCTACAGTTAAAACATTGTAGCCTGGAGTGGAGCCAAGCCTTCTGCTTGCTCTGTGGAGCAGCCATTTCTGTTGGGATTTATGTATCTTCTATAATTGAAACTTTGTAGCCTTAAGTGGAGGCCTAGGCCAGCCAGAGCGTGCAGAAAGCTTGGCTTTCTCCATTGCCAGGGGCAACCCTAGCCTCCTGCTCTTCCCAGCTCCATGGCTGCTTCCATTTCTGTTTGGATTTAAGTATCTTCTATCATTGAAACTTTGTAGCCTTGAGTAGAGGCCTAGGCTGACAAGGGCAGGCAGAAAGTTTGGCTTCCCCCATTGTCTGGGAAACCCAAGCCTTCCTCCTGCTCTCTGTGGCCGTAGCCATCTTGGTTGGGCTTGTTTGCATATTTGCTTCTGATTGACTTTTGGGCGTGGCTTGTGGATATAGCAGAGTTATTGTTAGTTTGCATATTACTCTTTTATTAGATAGGATAACACTATAGCTGAGTATAGTTTATGGAGAGGGGAATACTATTTCTCTAAATAACTGCACCAGAGGGCAAGTGAAATTTGACCAAAGGAAACAAATGCTAATCTTGATATACCTGCATTAATTTAAAAAGGCATTATTGGATCATAAGCTCTTCATAATGTAATATTCCTTAGGCACTTAGAAAAATGCTGTAGAGGAACACACACTTAATAGGCAAAAGTATGTGTGAAACTGGGGTGGGGGTGGGGACAATGCTTGTTTTCAGGGAAGCTACCAAATTTAATTTCAGTGCTTAAGTGGTCAACATTCTGGTTGGAATGCTTACAGGACAGTGCCACCTTGATTGACTGGGGACTGCCTTCTCTTTTAGATGAAGAGTTAATATGTCCCTTGACCTTCCAGCCTTAACCAATGCACTGTCATTTCTCCTCTAACAGTTTGCTCCCAGGAAGACAGATGGGTTAATTCCCAGATCTGAGGCAGGGCAGTGGGAGTCTGTAATCTGGGAAGGAATAAAATCATTGTCGTTTTTTGTTTTCCCAAAAGCATCAGGTTATATAACAAACGTGGTACATATGTAAAACACACGCTAATAAATGCACTTGGCAATCAAGCACTCTACTTTGAAATTTAAATAAAGCTAAGATTTTCTTCTGGCCTAGTGGGAAACTTCATTAAAATCAATTAGTTAGTACAAACCTCCAGAGAATAGGGACTTTTTTTTTTTTTTTAAAGAAGGTTTAGATAGTAAGGTGCACACAATTACCTTTCCCGGGTCCCCTGTGAATGTCAGTGTCACACCTAGACAGGTGGCCAAGTGCAAGCGGATGTCCTAGAGAGGGGCCTGGGTAACTCCCCGAGTTCCCACGGCTGGCTGCATGTGTAATTGCTGGATGTGTACTAGCACATACCGAGAATGCAATATACATGGCCGAGGAGGCTGCAGACAGATCGCACGTATCACCAACTGCGAAGAGCAGGCCCCGTGAGATAAAAGTTGATGGCAGGCGCTCCCAGGTGAGGCCTCGGTGCAGGAGCAGAGGTTGCGGCCGCACAGCTGTTGCCGGCGCCCTGGTCCCTCCTCCCGGCGGCGGTGGCCTCCACCCCCCCACCCCCGCCGCGCCCGCCGCCGCCGCTCCCGCCGCCGCCGCCGCCGCCTCCCCCCCTCCGCCTTCCAGTCCGTCCTCACGCTCCCTCCATCGCATCGCCCCCTCTCCCTCCGTCCCGTCCTCTCCGCGCCCCTCAGCCCGCCTCTCCCCCTCTCCCAGCCCCTCCTCTCTCCACCCTCCCTCCCTCCCTCCCTCCGCCCGCCCGCCCGGCCGGCCGGCGCTCGCAGAGCCGACACCGGGGGGCTCTCCATGTAGCACCATGACAGGCATCGCCGCCGCCTCCTTCTTCTCCAATACCTGCCGCTTCGGGAGCTGCGGGCTGCACTTCCCCACCCTGGCCGACCTCATCGAGCACATCGAGGACAACCACATCGGTAACGGCCGGGGCGGGCGGCGGCGCCCGGGGCCGGGAAACTCCTGCCCCGGGGAGAAGCCCGGTGGCCCGGGGTGGCCGGCGGGAGGCGGCGGCGGGTGCGGGGTCCGGAGGCGCGAGGTGCCTGGGGGCGGGGAGCAGGGTGGGGGCGGGGAGGGCGCCCCGAGGTGCCCGGCGGGGGGCCGGCTGGGGTCCGGGGGCGCAGCGCCGGCTGCGGAGGGTGGGGAGGGGCGCGCCGCGGGGGAGGGGGGGCGGGGGGCGGGCGCCGGGGATGCGGCGGGGCCGCGGCGGCGCGGGGCTGGGCAGCGGCGCGGAGTTAGTTGGCCGGTGGCCGGAGCGGCCGGGGGTTCGAGCGGCCGGGGGCCGGGGGCCGGGGCGGGCGTCCGCCGCTTCCGCCGGGCGCGAGCTGTCAGCGCTGCGGCGGCTGCAGCGGGGAGGTGGGAGCGGGGGTGGGGGTGGCTCCGCCGCGGCAGCCATTCCGCTTCCTCCTCCCGCCGCCGCCACTGCGTCCTGTCAGCGCCCGTTGCTAGGTGTGGTGCGGCGGAGGGGGCCGAGCCGGGGCCCCGCCGGAGGAGCCGGGGACGCGGCGCCGGGGCCCGGGGCCACCCCTGCCCGGCCCGGGCGGACGCCGGGCTGCGGGCTGAGGTGCCCAGCGCCCCCGCGGCCGCGCCCAGCGCCCCGGGGCCCGGCCGCCCGGAGGCCCTGCGGCGGCGGCTGCTGCAGAGCGGTCCCCCGGGCCCGCGGCCCGGCATTTAAACGCTCCCGGGCTCTGCGATTTGCCTTTCAGATGCAGCTAGGCCCGAGGGCGCCCGCCGTGCCCGGGATCCAGGGCGGCGGCCTGCGCGGCGCCCCGGGCGTGGGGGCCGCGGGGACCGCCGGGGAGGGGGCCCTCGCGGGCGGCCGCTTTCCGGTCCTGCTCAGGGCCCCAGGGCCTCTCAACAAGTCCTTTAATCCGGAGAAGTCCTTGCACACATTTGCACACTGCGATCCGGAGCTCCAGGGAGGGGTGAGGGGGGTGCATCTGGCTCAGGCGATCCAGCCACCTGCGGAAGGTGTGGCCAGCGCCCACGAGCTGTCCAGTGTAGGCTGGAAGGTGAAGGTGATGCCCCAGCAAGGCCGCCCAATCCAAAGGACCTGTAAATTGCCCCAGAAAGTCATTCCCAAATGAATGATCTGAATTCAGCCAAGTGGATGCCGCTCAGGTTTCTACAAAGTTGAGAGAATAAACCAGACTGCAGTATACTTAGGCACTAATAACATAAGGCCGATTTAAGCTCCTTTACTTAGAGTAATGCCTTCTATTAGCACATAGTGGGTGCTTGTGAGGCATCAATACTTGTTTAGAATGGGATGAATGGTTTTTTAAAAAAAAAAAAAAGTCATTCAAAGTGTCTACAGAATGCCATTCAAAAGATAATCCTGATGAGCAATTGACCACGTTTATGAAACTACATACCTAGCGTTAAACATCCATTTCATAGCTTCTGTCATCCCCTCTGATAAAGGTATGACTGAAGAGCTAGGCAAGTTTTGGTTGTCTTAAAAGCAGTTGAATGGAGTGTTCAAATTTGCTGATTCATTTCATGATTGAATAGTCATGACTGAAGTTGCTTAAAGGATAAATCAGATTTTTCATGATGTGTAGCTTAAAATAATCCATAAAACATCCGTAATGCACAGTTCCAATAGAAATTTGTTAGTTCGAGTTTCTTTCCTTACCTTCAATAATAAATAGAAAGAAATAACTGTAAATAAGTAAAGTAAATATATATTATATAAGTAAATAAATAGTGTCTTCTCATCTAGGGAAGGTTGTCCTAGAAAATATAAATTTAATAAAATGTGTTACAGTTAATCCTCAAGAAGGATTAACTCTAACATATTTGTAGATGATTTGAAACTAATTCACAAGAGCTTTTTAAGTTTGCAGAAACTGTCTTTACGATTGTGCAAACATTTTTAAAGAGGGTTAAGCGTTCCATAATCAATTTTCTTAAACTCAGCTTTTAAGTAATGACCATTTTCAAAAGGCCAGTGTTTTTCTCTTAGTGAAAATATTGAAAAATTAAGTTTATAACAATAGCTATGATTTAGGAGAACTGTGTAGCAAGGCTAACAATTACTATGCTTTGGAAGTAGTTTGAAGTTGGCAAACTTTATGGAAAAGTAAATGTTAAAATGAACAAACAGTAAAAAATCCCCAGGGTGAAGAGACCCTCTTATTATCTCTGTCCACTGAGGAGAGGCCTCTTGCTTTCAAACACCAGCTCCATTTGCAGAAAGAAAGAATAAAAATAACCTGACTCGGTAATTTAAAAATCCTTGTTTATAGGCAGTGTCAAATAACTTTGCTTTTGATGAAGAGACATGAATAAACATATATCAGACAAAGTATTTGGTGGAAGATCTATTGTGAAGTGGTTTTTATTGCTTGTGGTTCAGTCTAAATTTTTAGAGACGGTTAGATGGTTGTTTTTAATGATTGACGTACTGATTTCATGTCCATGTTGTCCAGTGGCCACATTAGAAAGATGCGTGAAAAGATGGCTAAGATATATATATATATATATATATATATATATATATATATGTATGTATATATATAAATTAATGTCATCTTTAATTTGTTTTTAGGGAGCTTGCTATTTAGCAATCATAAGAGTATTAGAGATATGGTTGGGTGGCATTTCCATCTTGGGGACCTTGTAGCCACTGGTCAAAATCCTAAGCAGCAATGAAATGAAGGTTTATGGGACTATGGCATGTGTCTTGCTTGACAGACTTTTCAAGGCCTTTAGTGTACAAGGCCCATAGCTTTCACTATAACTATATTGTTCAGTACAGATTAAGTGCATTAAGTTGAGTGTAGCCGTCTCTTCTGTCTTACACATGTACACTTAGCTCTTGTTTTACATTATTTCCCCGTACCCATAAGGAACAAGGACCTGGGGCTGTAGAGCCAAGGCAAGTATGATTTTTCACCAGCCTCTGTGTTAGCCCTCTTCCTTCCTCCTGGAAGAGTGCTGCACCCGTGTTCCTCTTTTGTCCTGTGGAAGCCATCATTGCTAGCACGGGAGCACCTTTCTGTGCAGCCCGAGTGGCCCAGTGAAACCCTCCCCCAACCTATAGTGCCTGGAAACCCCAAAGCCCTGTCACTGTGCAGTGTTTCTGCTTCAGCCTTGCTGTCCACTTATCCAAACCTGGCTCTGGTTCCTGAAGAAGGGAAAACTGATCAGGATGTGCTTGCTTCTTATCTATGAGTAGATACTTGAGTTTGTAAAAACAAACAAACAAAAAAACCACCAAAAACATTCTTGACATGCATATCCTAGATAGGTGAAGTTAAATTGGTAACCAGGAATCACAGAAACAGCAAGAGCACTAAATTTAGCCCTGAAGGTCATGCCACAGACCATGAAATGCCTGCTTCTCCATCTATGCATCCCGGTGCTTTAAAATCTTTGTCTTTTGGTCTCAGAGAGACAGCTAGTCCATCATTCTTACCAGATGTGATTATTTGGCACATCTGTAAAAGTGCCTATGCATATTGAATTTACTTGTGTAATAATATCTATCGAGTCCCTGTTTGGTACCAGGCACAATTCTAGTCATTTGGTGTTTTTTGGTGAACAAAGATCCCATCCTTTGGGGATTTTATGTTCTGCTGGTGGAAGATAGACAACAAGCTGTCAGCATAAGAAGTAAATTATATAATATGTTGGAAGGTGGTATGGAAAAGGGAAAGATTAGGATGGGCTGAAATGGATTAAGAGGAGGAGGTGTTGGAATGGATTGGCCGGGATAGGCCTCACTGAGAAGCTGATAGGTGAGCAAAAACCTTGACAGAAATGAGGGAGTTAGCCATGAGGCCATGCAGGGAACATCGAGTTCCAGGCAGAGGGAACAGAGAGTGCCAAGGCCCTGGGGCAGGACACACCTTTTAAACTGAAACGCAGAATCTGGCCCAATTCGGTTACTCTTGAGATGGTACTAAACTAGCAGGTCATTTGAAACTGCCCAGCTGTTAGGAGCCTCAGCGTTGTGGTTGTTGACTCTGGGTTTCCTGTAGAGGCCTCACTAGGAGGTGGAGTATTATTGACTAATAGTGGCTTACAGTAGCTATGACTTGGCAGTGCTTGACCCCGAATGTCAGCAGGTTTCTACCTGTTAGTTTCTTCATCTCCAAATCTCAGGTAAAAATCCTGCTGCTTCATTTCATAGGGTAGATTTATAAGCCATGTAATTAATAAAGATAAAAGTCTCTGGAAAGCAAAATAAGGTAGTTTCTATCGATAGTGTAGAATTTGGCTCCAGGGATAGTTTAGTGAACATTTGCATTATCTTCTCTGAGAGGCATCATGATATACTAAATAGGTAGGCATACAATCTGGCCCTTATCATCGCTACTTTTTATGTGAGCAAACTGAGGCACAGAAAGGTTCTATAGCTTGCCTTGGCTGGTAAGTGTGAGCTGGAATTTGAATTTCAGATAAGTACGCAGAGCTGTGCCTGTCATATTGTCAAGTAGGTAAGGAATTAGATGGTGCCATCCCTAATCCCCTTCCAGACACAATGGAACTGTGTGCTTCCTCCTTCGGAAAGGAACAGCTCTTGAGGATCATCTAGGAGGCAGCAGAGTGAACCAAGCTCCTATGGGTTTGAATACACACCGCTGCCACTTGTTAGCTGTTTGACTGTGGGCAAATGGCTTAAATACACTGTGCCTCAGTTTCCTTCTCTGTATAATGTGGATGAGAACAATGCCTAATCCATGGAGTGGCTGATGAGAAGTGAGCTAATAAGTGCAAAATTCTCATCTGCAATATTAAATTATCAACACCCAATTTTTTTTTTTGACGTTTTGCGTATTACTAAATGAGTACGTTTGGAATCCTTCTGTGCATGTCTACATTAGAGGTTACCAGAATGTGGGTGTGTCCACCTACTTGTGATACCGTTTGGGACATTTTACAGCTATGTAAACTTATCTGGCCTTTCCCA